AGAGAGGTGCCCCCACTGGGCTTGGACCGGCTGCTGGCCCCTGGCTCTGGGGGCTGCTCTTGAGGCTTCCAAGACATGGCTCTGTGTGGACAGACAGGCTCGGTTTGGAAAGTTCCAAGAAAGGGCGGGTTAGGCGTTCGTAGAGTTCTGTCTCCCTACTTCCCACAGCATCGGGGATCTGGACCCCCCAGGCCTCCTCCTTATCTGTTGGGTTGTACTGACCTTAGTGTATTGGAATCATTTTCATGCTAAGCTCTTCTCTTAGGCTTTTTTTTTTCCCCTCTCTCCCAAACCCTGGGGTTTATATATCGCCATTTTCTGGACAAGGAAGTCGAGCGTCATGGTCTTAGGCACTGGAGGCGGACCCTGCCATTAGCGGCAGTCCTGGGCAGGAACCACAGCGTCTGGAGTGAGGCGGTGTGTTGTCAGGGATGGTCCGACTGAGCCGGACATCCCAGTGTGACGTGGGAGTAAGAATAGTCGCCCCACGGCCCGCCTGGGGCTAGGCACTGGGCTAGGAGCCCCTTTCATCCTCCTGACAGCGCGAAGGGCTATGTATTTCTTTCTTTTTTTTTTTAATATTTATGTTTTTTTAAATACTTTTTTTAAAGATTTTATTTATTTTTAGGGAGGGAAGGGGGGAGAGAGGGGGGGGAGAGACATCAATGTGCGGTTGCTGGGGGTTATGGCCTGCAACCCAAGAATGTACCCTGGCTGGGAATCGAACCTGGGACACTTTGGTTCCCAGCCCGCGCTCAATCCAGGGCTATGTATTTCATCAGTACTTTCATTTCGTAGCTCAGGTTAAGGCACTTACTCCAGACGCACAGGCAGGCGGTGGCGCTGGGCTCCGAAGCCCGCACATGCGCACTCTACACTCCGCCGGCTGCAGGAGTGTGAGGACCCTCCTCCGGCTGCGTGCTTGCTTCAAATCCTGCAACGGCGCCACCCCATCTCTGCCCTTCTAGAGTTCAAGCTGAAGAAGATGTGGAAGAGTCCCAACGGGACCATCCGGAACATCCTCGGTGGGACTGTCTTCCGGGAGCCCATTATCTGCAAAAACATCCCCCGCCTTGTCCCTGGCTGGACCAAGCCCATCACCATTGGCAGGCACGCCCATGGCGACCAGGTGGGCCCTCGCGGGCGTCGGGCTCGGCTGGCCTGCGACCCCCATCCGGAGCCTCTGGCCTGACCCACCCTCTCGTCTCCGCAGTACAAAGCCACAGACTTTGTGGCCGACCGGGCCGGCACCTTCAAGATGGTGTTCACCCCGAAGGATGGCAGCAGTCCCAAGGAGTGGGAGGTGTACAACTTCCCTGCCGGCGGCGTGGGCATGGGCATGTACAACACTGACGAGGTGAGGCGGGCACTGAGCCTGAGCGCCTCTCCCCCAGCCTAGCAGGTCCCTGCTCCAGGCGTGTCCCTGCCATCTCCGCTGGTTCCCGCAGAAGTGCCAGCCTCACCCACATGACCGCCTCTGAGCCAATCACAGAGGCCCCGAGAGAGAGGCGCGCTCTGATTGGATAAGCCAGACACAAGGGCAACTCGAGAAGACAGGTCCCTTTCCCATCCCAGCCAGAGGGTCTAGGGACCGTAGAGAGGGAGCTGGCTTTCCAAAGCCAAGCTGGGGGGCTGTTCCCTCCCACAAGTGGGGGAGAGGGGAGCTGGGCGGGCAGGAACAACAGACGATTGCCAGGCAGGGTCGTGTGCAGGGAAGGGCGCCATTCCTGGGCGGAGCCTGGCCGCGGCGGGACCACGCAGGGACCTCTCTCTCCCCCTGCAGTCCATCTCGGGGTTTGCGCACAGCTGCTTCCAGTACGCCATCCAGAAGAAGTGGCCGCTGTACATGAGCACCAAGAACACCATTCTGAAGGCCTACGACGGGCGCTTCAAGGACATCTTCCAGGACATCTTTGACAAGTAACAGCCTCTCCCTGCACCGCTTTCCCGGCTGCCGCAGCCCTTCCTCCTTGTCCCCCTCCGCCACCCCAGCCCTCATCCTACGTGGGGAGGTCGCTGTCCCCATGCACTCGGCCTAGGGAGGGATCCCCAACCGGTCAGCCTCCCGCCCGCCTGCCACAACAGGCCCCTTTGCCTCCAGGCACTATAAGACCGATTTCGACAAGAATAAGATCTGGTACGAACACCGGCTCATCGACGACATGGTGGCACAGGTCCTCAAGTCTTCCGGCGGCTTCGTGTGGGCCTGCAAGAACTACGACGGCGACGTGCAGTCCGACATCCTGGCGCAGGGTATGCCGGAGCGCCCTGCTCCCTGTGGGGGCGGGTCGTTGGGTCATTGTCAGACCCTTTTGGTGGAAAACCTCAGCCTTGCCGGCTCACTGCAAGGTCCCCCCGTGGACGGCAGGGGGCGACAGCTCCCCGGCAGCTAAGGGAGGCGGGTCCACTCCTGGGTTTGGACGAGTGTGCTAGGGCCGCTGCTGCGGATGAAGAGGAAGGAAGGAGGATGCAGGAATTCAGGCTGGCGCCGAGGTTTCTGTGCAGGGAGGGCCCAGGCGACTCGGCTGGGCTCCAGTGAAAGCAGACGTGGGATGGAGCACAGCTGGGAGCTCTTGGAAGTGCAGAGCATTCGTTTTGCCCAGGGAACCTTTAGGATGCAGGAGGATACCAGGGAAGATGGAAAATCCGCAGGCCCTCCAGCGTCCCGAAGGGTCGACCAGATTCCGGCAGAGAGCCTGGGCCAGCCCCCAGAGAGGAACTGTGGGAAAGAGCCCAGTGTTGGGGGGGGGGGTGGTTAACAGGGGGAGGTGGTGGGAGGAGGCCGCGTGGAGTGCTCCGCGTGGACAGGAAACGAGGGAGAGTGCGAGGGCCGAGGTCCAGCTCCTGAGGAGGAGGAAAGAGGAGCCCAGGCCTGGCTGCCGTGAAAAGGCAGAGAGCCTCCAGGCTTCATTTTGCAAAGTTCGTTGGCGACCCTGTCACCAGCGGGAACAAGTCCCACCTGGGCTGGAGGGATGAAAAGCCAGAGCAGACAGAGAGAGAAAGGCATGGGAATTACCCCTGAAGAGGCCGGGGATGGGGGAGGGAGAAGGCGCAGGTAACAGCTTGACGCCTCAGCCGAAGAGTTTTTCTACCGGAGTCGCCCACTTTTTCTTTCCTGGGAGTTCCTAATTCTTATTGTGGTGTCCGGGGTGCTTTTGGAGTCCAGGAGGCCTCGTGGCCGGGAAGGGCTTCCAAGGGGACTTGGGGAGCCTTGGAAGGACCTCACAAAGCTTTCAAGCAGCGGGAAGGAGCAGCCGCTGAAGCAGGCGCTGGGACGAGCTGCCAGCAGCTTCCTTCTCTCTGCTTAAATGGCCTCTCGGCCGTGAGCCAGGCGGGGTGCACAGAACTGTCTGAGGTCTTGGGTCCTGAGGACCACGGGCTCTGGGACACCTGGAGGTGGGGCCACCGATATATGATTTATAGGCCAATGACAGCCACCTCCCGGTGCTCTCCTGCCGGGCGCCGGAGACCCCCTCACCAGGGTAGACAAACCAGAAATGTGTTCCTCCCAGTTACGGGTGGGCGGGGACATGAGTTGAGTGACAGCAGGAGCGCAGGCGCACTCAGTCCAGCTGTCCTGAAGGGAAGGGGCACCCGTACTTAGGGGAGGGTCTTCCCGCCCTTCAGGCTTTGGCTCCCTGGGCCTGATGACGTCCGTGCTGGTCTGCCCGGACGGGAAGACCATTGAGGCCGAGGCTGCTCACGGCACAGTCACGCGCCACTATCGGGAGCACCAGAAGGTCAGTGGGGGGGACCCGTACAGTCTCCCTCGGGGGCCCAGACCCCGCTGGCTCTGAGGGGTGGGAGGCGGCATCCAGCTTGTCCCCTTGTTGCCTTGTTGGCTCTGAATTCCCCTGTGACCCCTTCCCCCAGGGCCGGCCCACCAGCACCAACCCCATCGCCAGCATCTTTGCCTGGACGCGAGGCCTGGAGCACCGGGGAAAGCTGGACGGGAACCAGGACCTCATCCGGTGAGTGCGGGGGCCGGCGCGGAGCGGGCCCGGGGCGGGCGGGGGCTGGGCCCTGACCCCGCTGCGGGTCTCACTCTGCCCCTCGCCCCCTCACCGGCAGGTTCTCCCAGACCCTGGAGAAGGTCTGCGTTCAGACGGTGGAGAGCGGAGCCATGACCAAGGACCTGGCGGGCTGCATCCACGGCCTCAGCAAGTGCGTGGCCGGGGCAGAGGGCAGGGCTGGCCTTCTGGGCGGGGGGGGAGAAGCCGAGGCCCCCTGGAGAGTCAGCTTGGCTGCCAGGAGCCCCGGGGCGGGACAGGTGCCCACCACCCCTTCCCATACCCACCTCCCAGCTTCTCCCAGGACAGCTTGTACCCAGGGGCCCATTCACCTGGAAAAGGACAGACAGGCCTTCCCGGCTTCCCACCGACTTGGCTGCGGCCCTTTGGCCTCGGGCTCCAGGCAGCCTGGCCCTGCCCCCATTCCTCCGCCCCAGGGGCATGAGAGATGGAGACCTGCCCTCACACGCACGTGCTCCCTCCGCAGTGTGAAGCTGAACGAGCACTTCCTGAACACGACGGACTTCCTGGACACCATCAAGAACAACCTGGACAAGGCCCTGGGCCAGCAGTAGCGGGGCGCGCGCGCGCGGTCCGCCCCGCCCCCCGCGGTGGACGCCGAGCCTCGCCCGTGCGCCGGAGGGTGAGCCTCCCGGCCCTCTCCGGAGGCCTTCCTAGGGGACACTTTTTATAAATGTTTTTAAAGGAACCTGCGTCTCCCCTCGCGGTGACGGGAGGCAGGAAGTGTGTTTTACCTCAGCCCGCCAGTATGTATCGCATACTGTAATTTATATCGCCCTTGGAACACACGGTGCCATATTTAGCTACTAAACTCTCTTCACAAACCCGTCTGCTGTGTGTGTCCCTCGGGGGGAGGAGGCAGCGGGGGCCTGGAGGCCGTCAGAGGCCTGGGGTCTCCGCCAGGGACAGACCGGAGCACCTCGGGGCCCTCCCCCCCCCATTAGGTCCCCATCCCACCGGCTCCATCAAGTCAGGGGGGGACCCGGTACCATCCAGCAGGAGCCACCTGAGTAGCCGCTGTGACTCTGGGGTCGCAGGCCTGTGGGTTCCCTGGAGTTTCCTAGCACGGTTCCTGTATCATTTTGGGGTGACTGATTCTGGTTACATTTTCATTTATCTCTTTCTCTGTTGGTTTTAACGTTCTAAACATCTCCGGACCTCTCCGCCCTTTTCTCGGTGCAAATGACAAGGCCTGCTCAGCAGCTGCGGGGGGCTGGGGGCCCGGGGGGGCGGCGTGCTCGAGGCCCCCGTGTAGTCCAGGACAGTGGGTCCCAGGCTCTGGTCATCTTCTCCACTCCAGCAAAACTAGAACAGTAAGGTGATAAATTGCTGGGAGGTTCAATAGATCCCATTCACAGGGCTACTCACTCTTCTGTGACACTTTTTGGTGTTAGAATGTCCTCGGGAAGAGTTATATGCTGTTCACTCACTAAAATAGATACTTGGCAGCCCTGCGTCCATTTCCCAAATTTGGGGTGGGGGGCACTCGCACAGCTCCTAGAACTGAACCCTTGGGAAGAAGGCCTGTTAGGTGGGAGGTGGGCTCCAGCGGCCCGCCTCACTGGCGCCCCCTTCGGTGGGAAGGACGGCTCTGCGGCCAGGGCTGTGGGAAGAAAAGCCGGCGGGCTCCCGCTGGTCCGCCCAGCTCCCGGGCGGGGAAGGAGGGAGTTCGAGATTTCCAGCCCCTTCTTGCCCGTCAGAGGAGAAGGGCTGGCAGCTCCCCAGAACGCACAGCCTCCGCAGCCCAGGGTGGCACGGTGAGCTGGCCCTTGTCCTGGAGCCCTGCCGGTGGGTCAGGAGGGGGATGCAGCTTTTCTGTGCTTGCGGTGGCTTGGCCGGTCCCCTTCCCCCGGGCTCGGGGCAGCTCCCTGCAGGCACCTGGCGCTGCAGGTGAGCTCGCCAGTGCGCGGATGGTCCCGGGTGGGGAGGGTGGAATGAAGCACTCGCAGTCGCGCGCGCTAAAGAATATTCATTTATTTATAATTATTGCTAAGTAAACTTTTCTTTTTAAACAGGAACGTAAAAACACAGTAGGGCTTTGCACAAGTGGGAAGTTCTAAACGGTTGGTCAAAATAAGTTAGAGTGGTATTCGTTCAGGAGTTTCCGAGTCACCCGAGAGGCCGCACACCTCTTTTGCAAAGGCTGGGGGCGAGGGGGGGGGGACGGGAGCCCGGCCGAGCCCACCCTGCCCCAGCTCCAGTCGTGAGTTGTGCTCTCCCCGTCTCTTAGCTGCGCCCGGGGCCCAAGGCACCGGGCAGGGGCATTCAAGTATCGAACCTCGCAGAGGGCCGGAGCTGATGGCGGGGCTGGGGGAGGAGCGCCCCACCCTGGGGCCCACCCCTTCTCCCTTGGGTTCCCGAGACCAAGGCCACTGCGCTGGCAGGAGAGGGGAAGAGGAGGAGGAGGAGGAGGTACAGGGTTCTTTTTGGTACCAGGGGAGAAAGACGTTGTGGGAAGAGGTAGTTTGCAGGGGAAGATGCTTCTGCTCAGCAGGAGAAAATGTCTTCTACAGTGACGGAGTCACTGCCACCTGAGGGTCATCACGGCGGGCACCTGGGGGGCTGGTGGCCTCAGCCCTCTCACCCGTGGCTTCGTGTGTGCTGGAGCAGAGAAGGACGTCGCGCCTGGCTGCCCGATCTCAAGGCCACCTTGTCCTCCCCTCGGTGCCGGTCACAGCCACCCCGAGGCCTGGCTCGGTGCTCCGCTGGGGGGGGGGGGGTCCAGCCTTGGGTGCCGATGCATCTCAACACGGTGCCCCGCCCACCCCTGGCTTCGAGGCTGTGAAGTTGGTGGCTTCACCTTCTTCCATGCCTTGGGGGCGGGGGGGGGCCAGCCCTGCCCGCCCCTCCCCACGGAGGCCTCTGAGCCTGGGAGGCGGGCAGGAGGCCGGGCGCCCTGGCATTCCTGAATGTGCCGTCTCCCTGCCCTGGGCCTGCCACCTTCTGTTCCAGGGGCAGGAGCCGGTGTGGGGACAGAGGCGAGCAGCAGTGCGGGCGAGCCTCTGGCGGGCACCGCTGCCGGGCCCGGTCCTGCCCGGCCAGGCCGCTCTGGGGGGGGCACACAGCACGCATGGCACACGAGAAAGCTTCCGCAGGGAGAAAGAGAACGGCCTCCGTCCGAAAAGGTAATAGGCGACACAGTTGGAAAGGAAAAAAAAGTAATAATAAATTACCTTCCGAATACCCCCATGTGCTCCAAAAAAAAAAATCTTTTTTTTTTTTTTTTTGTTTCCCCTCTGTGGTCTTCACCTTCCTTTTTCCATGTTGCTCTTCCCGGGAGCCTGCTGACTGGACTGTCCCTGTCTTCAGGGGGGACACTTGTTATGCTTTAAATAAGAAAGACGCTCCAGCCCCCCCACCCCAGGTGGTCCTTGGCCTCCTCGGAGGACAGCTCCCTTGGGTCCCCGTGACCTCCGCACCGCGCCCTGCACCCTTGCGCACGGGGCCTCCCTCCGTCTGTTAGTGTGTCCCGGCTCTGTTCTCGGAGTGGGGGTGGGCGGGGACCCTGGCCCCGATCATGCGAGACTTGGATGACATTTGTGGAAATCCATCTTAGGGCTGTAAGATGGGGACCTTCCAGGGGTGAGGGGGTGGCCGGAGAGGGTGCTCTCAGGGTGGATTTCTGGGGTGCGTCTGCTCTCCCACCAGCCAGGTCGGCCCAAGCACGCTGGCTGTGGGGCGGGGGTCGGGGGGCTTGGGAGGCACCAGGAGGTAGACGCCAGGGGCCCAGCCTGGCTGTCCACGGACAGGGCGGGAAGACGGCTCTGGGGCCTGGGCTCCGTGCAGCTCCCGGGGGGCTAGCAGGCAGGGGTGGGCGGTGCCGACCAGCCCAGGAGCTCAGGCACCCCCAGAGGCAGGAGCTGGTCCGGAGGAGAAACAAAACCTGGCTCAAGCAGCCTCTTCTTCCAGTGTCAGGACCCCTGCGGGGCCAGCAGGAGGGCGGCCCCAGCTCTGCTGGGCCTGGGGACACACACCCCAGCACCTGTGTCCTCGGGACCTGTCCCCAAACAGCCCCTGTCCACACGTCCCCCGCCTTCCCACGGCAGCAGGCTCGGAGACGCAGGCCTGGGCCCCTGCATTGCCCTCCCTCCCCCTGGGACGCCTGGGGCCTGGTTCTGGTTCACAGCCGAGGCCAGGGGTGCAGTCCATTTGGTCTCCAAGTCCTTCGTGGTGCACACGACTCGGCGGGGAGCAGGGGGGTCTCCGGGCAGTGGGGCAGTAGTAGCTCGCGCCTCTGTGGCGGCAGGCGCAGCCCGAGGCCCGCGGGCCTCACCCCCACGCCCCGGGCCCTCCTCACCCCGGTCCGGGCGGCCCGGCGCGGGCTAGAGCACGTTGTAATAGGCCATCTCCTTCATGGCCTGCTCGGTCAGGACGCTGGCCTCGGCGCCGCCGTCCACCGCCGCGTAGGCGAAGGCGTTCTCCTCGAAGTCCTCCATCTCCTGCTGGCCGTCCAGCTCGGAGGGGTCGGCGCCCGTCAGCTCCATCATGGGGTCTGCAAGAGAGGTGCACAGTGAGGCCGCGTGCCGCCTTTCCCGGGGGCGGGGGGGTCACCCCCACACAGGAAGCCGGCCACTGGGAAGCGGCTTCCCAGACCTGAGCTTTAGACCTGGGTGTGCAGCGGGGCGGGGCAGGGCGCAGGCCTGGCCTTGGGCTCTTCTCTGGGCCCTGCCTCTGTGGTCCCTTCCTGAGTCATACACTTACTCCCTGCGATGTGGTCCCCTTGGCCACACGAGAGCCTGCTGCCCTGTACCCTGTCTCTGCGTCAGCACTCATTTGGCACCTACTGCATGCTGGGCGTGAGCTCATCAGTTCGCTCCCAGGGACCCCGGTTAGGAGACCAAAAGGAAGTTCAGAGAGGCCTGTCTGCTTGCCAAAGGGCCCAGGCAAGGGCGGCTGTCTTCGTCCACTGCGCTGCTCTGCCTCACCTGGCGGGGGCGCTGGGGAGCAGCGAGGGGGAGCCCATCTCTGACCCCATTCATGCTGTGAGCCAGTTCTATCTGGTGGTCCTTGGGGCCTGGCTCTCCAAGGACAAACTCCCCAGGGAGGGTAACACAGGGGATAAGGCAAAAACTCGTAATTAGAGAGTGTGCCCTCCTCTAATTTTATCAAATAAACATCTTATTATAATGCTCTTACTGTTGGAACAGGAGCCAGAGAGGAAATTCCACACTGGAGGCCTGGGCTGCCTTCCAGTGAGTCACAGGAGGAGGGCAGCCTGGGGTGAGACCTGGGGACCCCGGGAGGGTGGCCACCAGGGGCTGGGGCTAAGCCCCAGTGTGCGTTCTGCCCCGTCCACCCAGGACACGTAATGTGTTTGGGGGGAACCGGATCTCAGACCAGGGGGCAGTAGCCCTGGTGAGTCTAAGGCAGGGATTTCATCCCTGGCCCTATTAATATCTGGGGCCATCTCCTTTGTTGTGGGGACAGCCCTGTGCCTTGTGGGATGCTTCGCAGCATCCCTCCCAGTTGGGGACAACCAGAAATGTGTCTAGATGTGGCCAAAATGTCCTTGGGGGACAGACTCACTCCCTCTGTCGAGAACCACTGGTCTAAGGGGAAAGCCCACTGCTGGCCAAATGGTTGGCTTCATAGAGCAAAGGGGAGCAGGCTCTTAACTCTCCCACTGGATATGGACAAGGGAGCACATCGCTGCTGTAGGTTACTGGCAGCCATCTTGTGCCCATGAGGACAAGCACACTCTTTGCCTTGGCTACCGGGAAGCTCAGAGCTCCCCTCTGCGTGCTGATCAGACGAGTGGCACTGTGACCTCACCTGGCTCTCCCTTACTTTTCCAGTTGCCGTTTTCCCATTTAATACTTTCTTTCCTATCCTTTTATTTTCACGTCATTGCTCAGTAACGAGATAAGTGTCTTTCGCCTCCTGTGTGTTGTGATTTTGCGTGAGTTACCTAACTTCTCGGTCCTTGAGTGACCTAACTCCTTGGTCCTCGAGTTTCCGCCTCTGTTAAACGGCACCCACCTCCCTGTGAGGGTCACGTGAGTTAATAAAGGCCTGGCACACAATTAGCGCTCCATAAAATGTTGTCATTTTTATTATTTAGTTTACGTGAGCCCACTTAAGTCCTTTGAAGAGTACACGAACATCCCCCCATCACCACAGTGGCCCTCCAGCGTGTCCCTTCTCCAGACCTGAGCCCACCCCAGTGAGGTCTCAGGCCTGGCCAGCCTCCCGCCCCCCCTCACAGGACAGGAGGCTCCTGCATGTGCCGTGAGGGCACCGCTCTGGCTCCGTCCGCTGCGCGTGGCCCACCCACCTTGGCTATCCAGGCCAATGTCCATGACGCCGTGCTTGACCTTCATGTGCCGGCTCAGGTTGCCCTTGAGGTTGAACTTGCTGGAGCAGTAGGGGCACTTGAAGGGCTTGCTGCCCGCGTGCAGGTGCATGTGGCCCAGCAGGTTGTACATGCGGTTGAAGGACTTCCCGCACACCTGGAAGGCACCCCGGGCCCCATCAGCTCGCCCGCCCGACCGCCCTCCAGGACCCCGACCCCTCCCACCTCCACGGCTGAGCTGCGTGCTATGGACAGTGCTCATTCATTCCGCTCTTGCCTGTGGGGCTGCCCCGCACTCCCTGAGCCAGAGTGGTCAGAAATCTGGGGCTCAGGTCTCCGACGGCTCTGAGTCCCGGGCCTGGGCTCTTTCCCTGTGGCTGTGCCAGGATGCCCCCCACTCTCAAAAACCACAAACAACTTCAGCCGCTTGTGGGATCTGAAGCCCCACCGCCCACTCCAACTCCCCGAAGCCCAGGCGGCTCCCCTCAACCAGGCCGACCCTGTGCACTCACTACACGGCGACTCGCCTGCCCTGGCCAGGCCGCCCGGGGGACCGCCCCGCCGTGGCGCCGGAGGGCCGCGTACCTTGCACTTGAATGGCTTCACCGGCGAGTGTACAATCATGTGGGTCTTGAGGGTCTGCTTCTGCACGAAGGTCTTGAAGCAGATGTGGCACTGGTAGGGCCGGACGCTGGTGTGGATCAGCATGTGCCGCTTCATGTTCGCCTGCAGCGTGAACTCCCGGCCGCACACCTCGCACTTGAACTCCTTCACGCCCTGCGGGGGTGGGGGCGAGCGAGGGTCAGGGCCAGAGCCTCTGTGCAGCTGCAGGGAAACGACTTCCCGGGGGCGGGGGGGGGTGGTGTCCCAAACACGGACCACCAGTTGAAAACCACGGGGAGAGTGCCAGGGCAAGGCCCCCTACTCCAGGAAGCCTTCCAGTATTAGGCAGAGATGGGCTGGGCCTTCGTGCTCCTACCTACACACCTGCTGTCTCCGGCTCGCCAGGCCAATGTTTTAGTTCACTCATTCATTCATTCATTCATTCACTCAGCAACCACAGACCAGGCACGCGGCTACAAACGATCACCACACCAGGCATGAAGGGCCGGCCTGTGGCCTGGAAGACGCAGGTTTAGCCTGGTAGCCGCAGGTCTATTTCCTCCCGTCCAGAATGTACCCGTGTGTTTCTCTCCTCAGTGGTCTCTCCTGCTCACAGACCCCTCTGAGAGTATGAGCCACCGTACGGGCACCTGAGGAAACGGTGACACTCAAGTCATGTAGAATTTAGGCCCCTCAAAACTCGGAGGCCTTCACTGACGCCCGAGAGTTTTCCAACCGTCCCTGGCGCTAAGGACCACGTGTGACTCGATGAAGGAGCAGCTGCTCAGGCCGCTCCCTGGAGGTTCCCCTTCGGTGGGATTTGGGGGCTCGGCAGGCTCCCTAGGCAATTCTCACTATTGGTGGGGTGTGGGGCACTCGGCGCCGGGAGACAGAGTCTCTGGTTTGGACTGTCACTGGGCTTTGCCACACGGTCTGGAGGTGGCCCCAGAGCAGGGCAGGGTGCTGTGGGCCCAGGAATGTTAGGGCAAAACCTGGGAGCTGAGCTCTTTGCTGGAACCCCAGTCAGTTAGTGGAATCCCAGCGGGACAGACACATTTCTCCGGTGGCAGCTGCCATCCCTGTCGCTGATACAGTGTTGGATCCTAATTGAAGGGTTCCGGTTCCGGTGTCTATTTCTCTTAGCAGGCGGGGGGGTGTCTCGGGCCTCCCAGGCTCGCTGGAGGCGCGGAGACAAGTGTGACCACCAGGGGGCCCTGCCCTTTGGGAGCGCACCCAGCAAGCACCTGGCACATGGTACAAATTTAGGCTGACGAGAGGAATGTTTCCAATCGGATTAGCCTTTGATTTTTGCCTCTCAGCTTTTCTTCGCTGCATTATGTATCCTTTAACACTTTGCAGACAGGTGCGGAGTTTCAGCAGAGGAGAAAGATGGCAAATAAATAGGCTGTGAACTTAGCACGCTGCGCTCGCACTCCCCGCAGATGCTGGCAATCCGCCTCTGGTTTGTGCGTCGGGCACATTCTGGGGCTGGGGCTGAGCCCAGATTCTGCTGCAGAATCCTTCTTAACTCGATGCTCTTGGCAGCTACACCCGCCGAGCGCAGGAGCACCTGCCCCGAGCCTACACACCGTGTCTGCTCTAGCGGAAACCGTCCCAGCGCGGGGGCGGGGCGGGGCGGGGCGGGTCCTTGGCCCGGCACGCTGCTGCTCCCCTGTCACCGGGCAGCGTCCACGGTGAGAGGCAGGGACACCGGTTTGCCCTGGGGCGTCTCTGAGGCCACCCCTATGGAGAGAGGACACAGTTTGCACAGCGCTTCACGGTGTGCAGCTGGCCGGGTTTGGGGTGGAAACCAAGGCGCTGGCCGAGCGCCGGCGTCGCATGTGGGACCTGAGAGGCCTCCTTCCACCTGCCTGGCCATCAGGGCCTCTCAGAGGAGGTGACGCCAGCCGGAAGGTGGGGTGGCGACTGGCCTAAAGGGAGGGGGCAGGGGGAAGGAGGGGGAGAGATCAAGGTTGAGAGCAGCATGGCCCCGTCTTCCCTCCCCACAATCCACTTCACCACTCTGGCCGCATTCGAAACCCAGCTGTACTCTTCCACAGCTAATATTCTTCCTGTACTTGGCTGGCGTAGCTCAGTGGATTGAGCGCGGGCTGCGAACCAAAGGGTCGCAGGTTCGATTCCCAGTCAGGGCACATGCCTGGGTTGCAGGCCATGGCCTCCAGCAACTGCACATTGATGTTTCTCTCTCTCTTTCTCCCTCCCTTCCCTCTCTAGAAACAAATAAATAAAATCTTTAAAAATTATATTCTTCCTGAATGTGTTCTCTTCTACATGAAATATACTTAGCTTTTTTCCTAAAGGAAAGTCGCAGTTTTTGCCATACTTTTGTTACGAGGCACAAAGGAAGCCGTCTGTAATTCTGTCCCTCCCATCTATAAAGCAGGAGGGCAGGCAGGACCCAGGGTTTCTCAACCGTTTCAGTAAAAACAAAAAACAAAAAAAAACCCCAACTTTTTAAGTAAGTCAGGTTTGATTATTTAAAAGACAACTACTCTCCATTATATGTTTTTCATAAACGTCACTAGAAAAACAGGAACTGTTCCCCTGCGAACCACGTCTAGGATGCCCTGAAGAATCTCGCCCGCTGCTTTGGGAAGCGCGGGGTGATGGACAGGAGGGGGCGGGGCCCCGGCTCCGGCCGAGCGCCCGGGGGAGGCGCAGGGGCGCGCAGGCGCACGCAGGCGCACGCACGCAGGTGCACGGGGGCAGCAGCCGTACCTTGTGGGTGAGCGAGTGCTGCTTGAGGTGGTGGATCTGGCTGAACTCCATGCCGCACTCGGTGCACACGAAGGGCCGCACGTTCTGGTGCTTGAGCATGTGGTTCTGCAGCTGGCTGCGGTAGTGGAAGGACTTGTCGCACTCGAGGCACTGGTAGAGGGTGGGGCCCTGGTGGGAGGCCAGGTGGCGCTTGAGCTGCGTCAGGGTGGAGAAGTCCAGGCCGCACTCGACGCAGACGTGGCAGCGGCCGCTCTCGTGCTTCACCTCGTGGGCCTTGAGCTCGCTGGGGTAGGCGAAGCCGCGGCCGCAGAAGTGGCAGCTGTAGGGCTTGACCTCCGAGTGCAGCAGCATGTGGCGCTTGAGGTGGCTGGTCTGCGTGAAGGCCTTGTGGCACACCTGGCACTTGTGCGGCCGGGTGCCCTGGTGCGTCAGCAGGTGCGTCTGCAGGTGGCTGGGCTGCTTGAAGAGCTTGCTGCAGTGCGGGCAGGAGTGCGGCTTGATGCCGTTGTGGCCCAGGATGTGCGTCACCAGGTTGTACTTGGACGTGTAGGACTTCTCGCACATGCGGCACTGCCAGCGTTTCTGGCGGTCGCCCGCCTCCACCAGGTAGGAGTCGTCGATCTGCACGTTGATGTCCAGCCGGTCCAGCTGGGCCTTCTTGTGGCGCTCCACCGTGGAGCCCGCCGCGTCCGCCTCGAACTCGCCTGCCTCCTGCCACACGAAGCCCTGCTCCGGCTTCACGGGCTCGGGGGACTCCATGGTGGGGGCCTCGGGGTCGCTCAGGGGCGCCAGCGGGGGCGGCTCGAAACCGCACTCCGCCGGCAAGGCCTCGGGCCCTGGCAGCGCCATGCTGGGCTCCGGGAAGCCGTCCCGGGCCGGGTCGGGGAAGTGGGGGTCGTAGGGGGCCACATCCAGCTCTGGCCGCGGCGGGGCTCGGGGCAGGGGCCGCAGCGTCCGGGGCTTGCGGCTGAAGGCGCTGAGGTCGATCATCTTGACGGCGCTGCTCTGCACCAGCGACTCGCAGCCGCCGCCCACCACCTCGGCCGGCGCCTCCACGGGGCCTGCGTCCTTGTCGTCCCCGGGCACGGACACCTCGTAGACCTCCTGTTCCTCCTCCTCCTCCACCTTCTCAAACTTGACCTTGGGCACCAGCCGCACGGGCGGCCGCGTCTTCCGCCGGGTGTGCTTCTCGAAGGCCGCCTCCACCTCCAGCACCTCCTCCTCCGCGGGCTCCTCCAGGGCCCGCCCGTTGCAGGCCAGCTGGTAGACGTCGGGGCCCGGGGGCCCGGGCTCCCCCATGGAAGCCCCGGACAGCTCGGGCCCCAGGTCCGGGTAGAAGGCTTCGGCGCTTATGGTGGCTCCGAAGAGCTCATTTTCCGAGACCAGGCCCAGCACGGCAGCCTGAGCCAAGGACAGCACCACCACGGCGTCCGTCTGTGTCCCTGAGTCCATGAAGCCCTCCATCCCTGGGCGGCTGGCTAGGAGGGCATCGCTGCGGGGGAGGGGAGAAGGGCGCGTTAGTGCTGCGGGCTCGCTGCTGCACAGACAGACAGACAGACAGACAGACACACGTAGTCAGCAAGGGATCGGCTAATTTGGGGTGTGTGGGTACCCCAAATTACTCCTGCCTGGGGCGCAGGGCACACGTAATTACAGGGAGCAGGGACCACCCCTCCCCCTCCTCGTGTCTCTGCCCATCTCCGCATCTCCCTGCGGGATCCTGGGCCAGCCTGCCCGGCCCCTCCCCCTGCTGGCCTCAGTCTTCGCGTCTGTAAAACAGGGAGGCGGAGCGGTTCTCAAAGCACGCCCTGCACGTCCTCCTGATGAAGAAACCACAAGGAGGAAGGACTCCTCTATTCTTAAAAGCCGATGTTAGAAAACCCGTCTACCCCCACGCATACGCAGCGCACCTCATTCCAACGCACTCCGCGGCCCCACCGGCGTGGTTGCCAAGGTGATTGATTTTGCCGGGGCCTTGAGACCACGGTGAGGTGTCACACGACTGTCACCACGTGCGACGGCCTGTCCATACGAATGAGGAGGGGCTTCGGTTTTGCAAACAATGCACATGTCAATTAGGGCCAAGGCCGACCTCCCGCAGTGGCTTCCACCTCACCGGTCACCCCGACATTCAGTGACCAGGTCCCCACGGGTCCTAGTTTTCAATGTGACGCAATTAAATGTCCAAACGTGTACGGATGAAAAATAAAATTTTGTTTTCTGATTTGCGGGCTGGGATGCCACGCGAGATCGGATTCGAAAGCAGGGCTGGGCAAAAGCGAACCTGTTTCAGGCAACTGTCTGAAGGGGGCGCTGGCCCCCAGCTTCTCAGCCTCCCTCCCTGTGAGGCCTAGAACGTCCTTTAAAAAGCCAACGCGCCCACCTGTCCAGGCGCAGACCCCGAGCGAGCGCGTGGGCGTCTCCTGGGGCTCCCACTCTTCGCACCCAGTTTCCAACCCCGCTGAGCTCCTGGCTCCTCCCACCAGCAGCCTCCGCTCTCAAATTCCACCTGTTCCTGGGGCTTCGCTGCCCTGCTCCGCGGCCCGGTGCCCTCTGCCGGCCTCTCCTGGCCTCCAGGGGCGACAGCTCGCAGGAGCAGTGCCCGGATGTGGGAGTGCCACGGCCTGAGCTGGAGACTCCAGATGGAAGCCCTCACTCCCGGCTCAGGACTGGGCGCATGGGAGGCACGCCATTCCTGGGGTGGCTCCTGCCTGCCTCGCCCGCTCCCCCCGAAATGGGGCCACAGTTGGCGCTCGGCCCAGCGGCGATCCTTCCTCAGGAAACAGGCCCTGGCCTGGCGTCTCCCCTCCAACCCCCCGCAGGCCAGCAGAACCTCCCCTTCCTGAAGCCGGCTAAAAATAAAATCCCCGAGACAGGAATTTAGCTTCCTCGACACAGACTCGAAAGACTTAACCATTAGGCCTGAAGCGGAGCTCTCGTGGAAAGGGTCCGATGGAAGGGACCTCGGACTCGGGGCTCCGTCGAGCCCGTCTGGAACAGGCTGGAGGGGCGCACCCCCAGCCCCGTTAGGAAGGAGGGGCAGCTTAGCCTCAGGTCCTCACTGCCACATGCAAGCGACTAAGCGCTGTTATTTCAAAGTCACTTCTGCGCCTGTCCCCCCATCTAAAAGTGGGGATGAAAACCCTATTCTTGGAAGGGCTGTGACCTCGTTGTCACTCTGGGGAAGGAGCTCAGTTCCTCGGGACGCCCTCACAGATACGAAGCAGCACTGCTCTCCGCTGCCCAGGTCTCTGGAAGGAGCCTTTGCTGACGAAAGCCACAGAGCTAAGAGGAATCTCCATTCTGGGGCCCCCAGCTCAGCACAGGTTTGGGAGACTGCAGACCACCTCTGGAAACAGAACTCTCACCTGCTCGTTGGTGGGACCAAACACTATTTGCTAAATCCCTGCTCTCGGGCGGGCCCTGTGCTTGGCGGTGCAGGCGGAGAGGCGGGGGCCCTGTCCCTTCGACCGGTCTCACGCAGCGCCCAGCGGCGCCCTCGTGTCTGCCGTGGGTTTGAGCAGATGACCAGCCCAGCTTTTTTCCCAGACTTCCCCAGGGGCAAGGCCAGTGGGCAGGGAGAGGGGAGGAACTGGCCCTCAGCAGTGGATTCTGTGCTGGGAACTTGGCCCTGAGTTCTGAGTTCAATCTGCATGTGGCCCCTCTGTAGCCCAGGCAGGTCCCCTCCCACTGAGTCTCAGTTTCCTCATCTCTAAGGTCCCTGTTCTGTCTCTACGGCCCCAAGTTTCTATTCCGTCTCTATGAAATGCCTGACACGAGGTGGGGAGGGAGATGAGGCCAGTGTGAATGTCAGTCCCCTTCCCTGTCCCTTCCTCCTGGGCCCCACTCCCCCTGGCGGCCCCTCCCCTGGCAACCGCCTCCAGGGAACAGAGGCAAAGACAAAGGTCACTCCACCGGCAGATGAGCTGGGGACAAAATGGGCCAGCACCTGCCTGTGGGGGCCGGAGCCCATGTCTGGAATGGTCCCCTCCAGGGAGGGTCATCGTGTGACTCACTCTCTCTGTTAGGTGGGACCATCTAGAGTGAAAGGGCTGTTCCTAACGATAACACCAGGACCCCCCCGCCCCGCACAAGCCAAGCCTGCTCCCCCCCCCTCCGGCAACCAGGTGTCCCCTCCCTAGGGTGACAGGCAGGTGGCCGTGGCTTTGAGGCTGAGGAGAGGGTGTTTCTGTGTTAGGAGCCTGTCCCAGGTGTGCAAGGGGACGTGTCCAGGGCCTTGCTCTTAAGGGATTCGTGCCCAAGTGTTGGGGGTGGGGGAGAGGACACAGAGCTGCCAACCGTCGACCACACACACGGGTGGCAGCGCTAGGTCTCCATCATGGAGTGCCACGCTCAGTGAGCCACTTCGCCATGAAACAACCTCACGGGGTGGGGGTGGGGGCGGGGGCGGGGGCAGCACGGGCTCGCTGCCCGGCTCCACCGTCTGTGCACCCTGGGACAGCACGTCCCGGCCGGGAGCCCAGTCTCCGCTCCCAGGGGCCACCCTGCGTCCATGCCTGCGCCGGGGCAGCCGGGCGCGCGCATGTGCGTCTGTGCGTGCGCATGTGCGTGCGCATGCGCTTGTGCTCGCGCGTGCGCAGAGCGAGGGCTCTGCTTGCTGAGACGGAGGCCGCGAGAGAAGGTAGGCACAGGGCCTCTTATTTGCCCGCACCCCGCATGCGCGTTCTCTCCGGCACACGTGGAAGTGACTAGTGGGAAGCCGGGGACTCTGCAGCCCCATGTCACGCTTCCTCTTCCTCCTGGGCCACCTTCCTGGCCCCCCACTCACCCCTCGTCCGGCTCCTTCGCACAGGCAACAGCACCCCCGTTTGAGGCCCTGGAGGGTCGGCCACGCTCTCACCCCCCGCGTGCCAGGACGGGCTCTGTCCTCCGCCTGGGGCTACCCCTGCGGCACTGTCCTCGGAGCTCGGCCTCGCCTGGCCGCTGGTGGGCCTCGCCTGGCCGCTGGTGCTGTGGGCTCAGAACAAAAGCTCTGCACAATGTCCACGGCAAGGGGAGCTCAGACTGGCCCTTGGCTGTGAGGGGAGGGGTGTCCTCGGGTGCAGCTTGGCCTCCTAGCGGGGAGCCCACCATCCCCTGGGCGCAGAGGAAGGAAATGGCAAAAGCAGGGAAACAGAGGAAACGGAATAGGTGCCTGATTACCGTTTAAAGACGTGAACTAGGAATGGGGGAAGGGAGGCCACAGCAGAGGGAGAGAGGGAGGGAAGGAGGGAGGGAGGGAGGGAGGGAGGAAGAGAGAAAGAGGCTGTGGAGGCCAAGAAACAAAAGCACGGGCAGGGGGAGGGTAAGGAGCGAGTGCAGAGGGAGGAAGGCCGTGTGGTGTGACCCGCAGCCCTGGCCTGCCCCGTTTCTCAGGGCTCCGCGTGGCCCCCTTCCCCCTCCAGCCTGCAGCGGGGCCTGAGGGCGGCCAGCCCCCGGGGAGGGGCCAGAGGCCGGGTCAGGGCTGAGGCCCAGCAGAGAGCCTCCCTCACCCAGGCAGGGCCCAGAGCTCCCGCCGCTCTTTCCTCTCCTGCTAGCAACACTGACGCGTGCGCTTGTCACACGAATCAGTGACTTGCTGCGTGACCTTGGGCAGGTCGCCTGGCCCCTGAGGGTTTCCGCTGGTGACCGCACCTCCTCTCACTGAAACCCCTACAGGCACCCCTGGCTCTGACAGCAGGGGAGGGCCAGGGACCTGTGGGGGGCCGGGGTCCCCAGAATGTGGACAGCGGGTTAGAGCGCGGGTATTTGGCGCATTCCGGCCCCGGCTGGCCTCGGGGCTGGCGGGACAGGAACCATTTTGAAGGCAGAGCCAGCGGGTTCTGCCTGTTCGGCTAACTCCCACTGCCCGCTGGAGACATGGGAGGTCTCCGGGCCGCTGCCTGGGGTGTCACCAAGCACACGGTCCTGGATGTCCTTTGATGACTGCCTTGGAGGGGCCTAGCAGGGGTTCTGTGGGAGGGCAGGGTGGCCCCCGAGCCCCTCATCTTGGCTTGGACTCCCCCCCCGGCGACCCAGAGGGTGCGACGACCGGTTCTGCCGCCGGATCACTGGTTCCCTACACATTTACTGGGTGCCTGCTGGGTGCCAGTCTTGGTCGTGGGGACACAGCAGGGACCAAAATAAAGTTCCCATGCTCAGGGAGCGGCCCAGAGTGGGTGCAAACAACAGTTGAGGCACCGGGCGACCTTTGGGTGGCAGGAGGCCTGGAAGAGGCAGTCAGGGCCCCACAGAGCTGACAACAGAGGGGCCCGCTCCTCCTCCTGTCACTCAAGACCTCTGGGATCTGGCTCCTGCTTCCCTTTCTGCCCTGGCGCGAGCTGACCTGCTGGTGTGCGTGTGTGCACGCATGTCTGGGTGTCTCGGGGCCCTTCCCCCCCCCCCCCCGGAGCCTCAGGCTCCCGGAGGAGGTAAACCTGGAGTGGGTGGGGCAGGGACCTGGGCCCCGAGAGGGGAAAGGAGGTCCCAGGTTTGGACACGTCTGTGAAGTCA